GCCATCGTTGACAAACTATTCCCCGTTGCGCATGGATCCAGATCCGACCCAACCATATGAGCAATTCAATAATTACGTGCCCAATGTTGAACAGCTACCGCTGCCATCGCAGCCAGAATTTGTGCATAACCAAAACGTTAACTACTGAACAATAGATTTGAATTTGATTTTTTTTGTTCCGTTTGTCATTAACAAAGATTTATTTTGTTCATTGCAAAGATTTATTTTGATTATTACCAAACATTTATTTTGTTTTATATTTATATATATTTCTTAAATGGTCATAATATCTCTAAAATATTAATATGGTATGAACTTTTAGTTCAATTAAAAAAAAATTAGAAAACACAAATTGAAAATAAAAAATATTTTTTTTTCTCACCGTTTTTACCTTCTTAATAAAAAAATTTAGTGTTAAAAAAATTAAAAAAATGTAAAAATTAACTCTTTCAAAACTATTATTATAATTGAAAAAAATAATAATAATAAATTTAAATACACTAGAATCAGGTTTAGATGTACGGTTGGTTTGCTTTACCGAAGAATTTGTCTTGACAAACCATAGAGGTGGGGTAGCGAAGCTAAGAAGGCTAGAAGGAGACCCGAATCAATTAGGTCGTAAAAACAAGAAAGAAAGAGAACTAAGAAGGCTAGAAGGAGACCCGAATCAATTAGGTCGAGAACGAATAAGAACATTCAAGCTTTGATTAAGTGAGAGGGTACTTTACAGTAAAAGCTGGCAAAATTGACAAGAAAGTAAAGAAAAATACAGATTTTACAATGAAAGAAGCAAAGTAAAAAGAAATTGTGATAAATATTATTGCATGAACAAGCTTATTAGCCATTGTTTCACTTGAGAAAGAACTTCCAAATGTCTCTGTCAGTCATCTCCTTCACCAAGTGAGCTCCAAAAACGCCTTCCTCGTCGACCAAACTCCTCAAATGCCTCGCTCCGCTATTGAAACCGACGTAATTCTTCTTGGTCGCCAAGTATAACACTCCATATGGTGGCCTCACACACTAAAGTTTCACCAAAACAGACGATTTTTCACAACGTATTCGATGTTTGTAAGAAGTATTCAAGTCGCTTTAGAGTTAGTTACCTTCTTTATAAGACTGTATAGTTTCTTCAAAGAGTTAAGTGAATATGGGATTTCCGCCATTAAAATTACATCGTATCCACCTTCTCCCTGATCGCTCTCACTCGCCCTCTCCCATGCTCGACTTCCCGATAGTTTCCTCGATCTCCTTGAGGAAGACTCATGCCCAATGATGCTACCATCTTGACTGCTGCAACCATCCATAAAATCTTCTTCAGAGAAGCTCAAGCTCATTCCAGTTGGTCCTTCAAATCCATCACCCCTAACAACGGATAACACTGTTGGGAGCTCTTCCCAATCGCCCGCGTAAAAATGTACCGATGGGCTCAAACTGTGTCTGGACGGAGTTAAGGGACTCTCCGGCTGTCTACTCTGCCTGTCCCGAGCTTGTTCGAGATTCGCAAGGACGTTCGGTATGGTTGTGCATCTAACACTTTCTGCACTCAGGTCTTGAAAGTGCACTATGCTTGCTCCCTGTAACAAGATTGAAAACTCAGCTATAACCACCCTTCCATTCCCTGTTTTAATACTATGAATAAGCCCAACTCCACAGCTAGCTGGTATTGTCCTATTTGAACTTTCCCTTTCGGGCTTTCCCTCAAGGTTTTTAAAACGCGTCTACTATGGAGAGGGTCTAGCCCTAATCTAATACCATTTGTAACAGCTCAAGCCGTGAGCTCACCGCTAGCAAATATTGTCCACTTTGGCCTATTACGTATCGTCATTAGTCTTATGGTTTTAAAACGTGTCTGCTTGGGAGAGATTTCCACATCCTTATAAGAAATGTCATTAGATCTTTATCAAGATCATAGTATTGATCAATAACATCTAACAAAAGATTCTACTGCTGCTTCAGTCAACCAAACTTGAACTCGAGAACAACTTATTTAACTAGTAACAGACGTGAGCATACTATTAAATGTTCGGATGGAGACGGATTAACGATGAGGTACCTTGAGGCAAGCAAAAACTCCAGGAAGTCCATAGCTACAACCCAGCTGCAAAGCACCAACTAAAGAGGTTAGCTTGAAAATCATAATGTGTACAATAACACGACACGAAAAAGAAGAAAAAGTCACAAATAAAACAAAATGAAAATCTGTATCTAACATACCCATCTTGGTGAGACGAGAGTTCTTCTGGGAAAAGGAGTTCTAAAGTTCCTGTTTGAAAACAAGTCAAAGAATTAGCAACTGTGATCCAATCCTTAACCTTAACCTTCAAAAGCAAATGTGTGATATAAAAAGGAGTAGGAAAACTATCTTTGGATTTCCCAATTGAAACCAGGGCCAAATTTCATCAGAAATTTCGATCTTTCTTAGCATCAATTTTCTTATAGAATTCACCCTTTTGAACTCACATTTTCTAAATCAGTTCTATATCATAAGTAGTCACTGTTTTAGGAAAAGACCGAAACAGAGATGCTTTAATTACAGGGCGCCAATATCACAGATAAAATCATGCAATTAAAACGAACATTGCAACCGATTTCAAAGCTTAAAAACACCCTCAAATGGTATCAATCAAATCAGAAACCAAAATTACAGAGTTCTCGTATTAGTGATTACCAACCATAGTATCAATCAAAATCAGAAACCAAAATTACAGAGTTATCGTATGTATTACTAACCTGGTAAGACCGAATCTAGAGAGAAGTGTAAACGAGTGAAAGGCCCTAACCCCTAAACAAAAATATAATGGGTGTGATTACTAAAATATCATTTTTGAGTGGAAATTTTGAAATGCAAAATTAGTTTTAAATTTTTTTTTTTATATAAATATACTAATTTAGGTTATAAACTCATTTTTTAAATTAAAATATATATAATATTATATAAGGTTACAAAAATTAATTCCACCAAAATTATAATATAAACCTATATTAACTTAATAATTTAATAATAGTTACATTCATAAACCTTTACTAATTTTAAATTATCTATTATGATTTTAATAAAATTTGAATAATTTTATAGATTAATTTAATAAAATTTCAATAAAACTTGGCTCAATTTCATAAAATAAATATTCTCCCCAAAAAATATTTAATTTTTAAAATAAATATTTTTTAAAATCAATTTTATGAATAAATGATCTTTTATAAAAATATATATATATATAATGTGGACTTTTGCCGGTGCTGGCCTTATACAAGATAGTGTACAAAATTATATGGTAATGGTAATGGAACTAATAAATAAAAAATCGGATAATTTTTTATTTTAAAAAATTATTATTTTTACAGTTATTCTAATGGAAAATTATAAATAGGAGACTTCTTCCTTCTAAACTAACTCGAAATCACCTTCTCATTTATTGTTTCTCTTTTGTCGAGTATTCCATATCCCGATCAGAATTCGACAATGGCGATACCGATTAGTAATGTGGTGCTTCAGCAGTCGCCGACGACAATGACGACGCTACCGGAAAATCAATCGATGAGATTCGAGAATGACTTTAGGCTCGCCGATCAATCTATGAGTGAGGCGGAGATTTATCATAACGCTTATCTGAATCTATATAACGAAGATTTGTCTCCGTTCGAGACTTCTATCAACGGCGGCTATGAGACAGAATTTTATTGTCCTAATGAAACGATGCCGTTTTGTGCTCCTTCCACTTACAATAACTTATCTCCTTCGGCTCCGGCTCCAACTCCGACGTTTTATTGCCCTAATTATAGCTATGAAACGATGTCGTTTTGTGCTCCTTCCACTTACAATAACTTATCTCCTCCAGCTCCAGCTCCGGCTCCGGCGTTTTATTACCCTAATTATAGCTATGAAACGATGCTGTTTTGTGCTCCTTCCACTTACAATAATTTATCTCCTTTGGCTCCGGCTCCGGCTCCGGCTCCGACTCCGGCTCCGACTCCGACTCCGACTCCGACTCCAATGGAGAATTCTGGTTTTCTTTCAGATGTCGTTAATTTTTGCTCCAATAATCAGATGCATCGGGTAGCGGCAAACAATGGCAGAGTCGGCCAATCATCAAGGATGAGGATAATTTGGACAGTTGACGAGCACAAGTAAAACAACTAAAATAACTAACTGTGTAATTTGTGTAATAATTGTGCTTCAAAAATGAAACAATTGTGTAATTTTTTTTTTTTTTTTTTTTTTGGTGCAGGTTATTTCTGGTAGGAATGGCGATATTTGGCTCGGGTAATTGGAAAAGCATCGCAAATAAAGTCGTGCTTACAAAAACTCACACGCAAGTAGCTAGTCACGCTCAAAAGTTTTTCACTCGGCAACAAATACCGAAAGAACAACGAAAAAGAAAGAGTATTCATGATATCGATACGGTCGATCCCGAATTATTGTCGGAGGTGTATGCTCGTTTAGAATCACAACCAGAAACACGAACACGATCACGACCACGACCACGACCACGACCACCACCGCCACCGCCACTGCCATCGTTGACAAACTATTCCCCGTTGCGCATGGATCCAGATCCGACCCAACCATATGAGCAATTCAATAATTACGTGCCCAATGTTGAACAGCTACCGCTGCCATCGCAGCCAGAATTTGTGCATAACCAAAACGTAAACTACTGAACAATAGATTTGAATTTGATTTTTTTTGTTCCGTTTGTCATTAACAAAGATTTATTTTGTTCATTGCAAAGATTTATTTTGATTATTACCAAACATTTATTTTGTTTTATATTTATATATATTTCTTAAATATTCCACACATTCCATGTAAAGATGTCATAAATATACGATCATCAAGAATCAACAAATAAAGGAAATAATTAGGATAAAGATACTCTAGATTCTTTCGCTCGGGGTAAAGCAAAGCAGCTGGCTGATCGATCTGACCTCATTCCCTTCTTTCTTTCACCTATGGATTCTGAGTAAACTCCTGGAGTTTTATTACTTACTTCTGACCCACCCTTCTTTCACTCCTGCTGAGCCTATACCTATTTATTCTTTTTCTTCTCTTTCTCCTCTCGCAGCTACTTATTCACCTTTGCTCAGCTTTGACTGATTGAACAAGGTCTCGTGGCTTCGGGCCTCTCAACAGAAGTATTCATTCCAGCCACTAAAGCAGCAGCGAGAGAAAAAAAAATGTTTTCTAACATGAGCTCACGTTTGTCCCATCTATGCACGTCGCCTCACACCGACCATTCCCCAACATTCTGAGAACCTGGGCATACTCCTGACCATCTTCCTTGAAAACAAGCTCACGTTTCTCATCATCTGCTTCGTTCTTTCCTCTCTTCCTGTTCTTTCCTCCCTTTCCCTTGTTCTTCGGCATGTTTTCGGTTCTGTGTTACATTTGAAATGCAATATGAGCAGTTGCAATACCACCAACATACAGAGTCACGGTTCGTGCCATAAAGAAAATATGAGGTAAAACTCCAACTTTGCACACTTGAAATAATTTGGATTTAGATAATATAAATCAGTCTAAACTAAACAACTAGCATCAAGATAAACAGAATATAAACAGAAAGAAAGCAAAGAAATTACAAAACAATTGCACCAAACGTCCAAACAGAACTTACAAGAACAGGCAAGGCACCTATTTATCACTTTTGAGTCAGTAATGTTAGAAGTAAGCCCTTTTTCTTCCGGTATGCAATTGTTCAGAAAATTGAAGTCAACTCCCAAGCACCCACCACACACGATGAGATGAAGAAAACAAACAACTAATGATCAAATTTACAGCCATAAGACGATTGGTACCTTCAATACCTAGCTACTACAACTCAGGGGCGCAGAACAGAGTGACTCTGATAATATTCCACACATTCCATGTAAAGATGTCATAAATATACGATCATCAAGAATCAACAAATAAAGGAAACAATTAGGATAAAGATACTCTTGAACAGAAGTATTCATTCCAGCCACTAAAGCAGCAGCGAGAGAAAAAAAAATGTTTTCTAACATGAGCTGCGAAGAGCCATGTCGCAATTTGAATGTTCAATAACAATTTCAAACTGGGGCATCATCATGATTACTTTTCATCAAGATTACAAACCCCAAGATGAATCATTAGATACAAAAGTGTGGTATATTGTCCTGTCCAGCTATATTTCCACTCCTTATTTCTAGTCTTTTGCTTCTTACTTTGAACTAAGAGAGAATCATATATATGTCCTATCAAGATGGGGTGGGGCGGGGCGGGGCAAGAGAGAGAGAACCATATACGTTTTGTTCTTTCTCTTCTCCCAAAATCATTAATTCCTATAATTTACATCATATAAGAGAAAAGATGCTCAAATTCTAGAAGCCACCATGGCACTAAAAAGGATCAGATCGTAGCAGTTAGAAGATATCTCTCTAATCACCTTGCTGGGTAGAACTCAGATCGTTTCGATCAAAATCACAAAAAAAAAAAAAAAAAAAAAAAAAAAAAAAAAAAAAAAAAAAAAAAAAAAAAAAAAAAAAAAAAAAAAAAAAAAAAAAAAAAA